CCACTTTCCCAGACCCCCCCCCCAGCCTCCCTCTTATTCCCACTTTTTTCCCATTAGCAGCAGGGAAACAGGAAGGCTGGCAAGTCCTTTGGGACAGGATCATTTTTCCTCCCGGAAGGATCCCTTTGGGGGGCAGAGGGGGACACAGCCAGGATAGGGAAGGTCGAGGGGCCTCTGCTTGGGGGAAACCCCTCACTGTGCAGGACGGTGTAAAAAAGATTCAGAGACTTGTCCAGATAGGGCAGAGCTGGGATCTCAACTGAGCAGCAGCTTCACTGACTCCATTGGCCAAAGATGCTAAGCCTGCCGTGCCTCTGGTCTCTTACAAGGCACCGTGTGCGCTCAGAGTAATGTGGCCGTGCTTTTTGCAGGGTTTTGGCCGAGCAAAACATGCCATTGCCACAGAGAAGTTGAAGGCCAGGTATCCCGATTACGAAGTCACCTGGGCCGATGAAGGCTACTGACCACTGCCTTCAAGAGTTCACCTTTGCGACCGAACAGCAGCAAGCGGGAACAGATGCGGGAGGCCGCATGTTGAACACCTGCCAGCCTCTGGATCTGTACACTGGACTGTCCTGTGATCAAACCTCTTGTGCGTTGGTAGAAGGAAATAAATGATTGCGCTCGCTGCCTAAGATGTCACGCTCCCTCACGCATCTCCCTGGATCCACTCGCTTCCCGCGGTGTCTTTTGACTAAGAGAAACAGCGGTGAAGGGAGGAATATAGTTTTGTGTTTGTGTGGACTGGGGAAAACGCAGAGGAAGCAGCTGAAGTAATAAGCCTGGGTACCTGCACTGTTTAGAATGCAAACTCGCAAAGATCGTCTTCATCCGCTTGCAACGATGCTTCCGCTTCGCCTGCACACAAAGCAGCAGTGTTCCCCTTGCAGCTTTAAGTTGCTTTGCTGTCTTGATAACTGTAGCCAGTAGGTTTCTTTTTCTCCTGGAAATCACAGTAAATGTAACCTCCTCGTGTAACATGCTAGAAAGGGAAGTCCCGTGGCCCTGGTCTGGGCCTGGTCCAAACTGCATGCCGAGGAGGGCTTTTTCTCCGCCGTCTCCTGTCCATCCAGCATGGAAACATGGATTTCTTTGGCAGTTCAGGGCAAAGCAGTGCTTAGGCTTCTCCTGCTAATGCCCTGCTGACGAGATTTCTGGACAGCGTTCAAGTCTGCAAGATCTTCCCTGGAGATTATGACTTGATTGCACGAAGTCCAAGGGCGCCTTCACGGAAATGAGGTTGGATTTCTTGCATGTGAGAGCAACAAAGCTCTTATGAAACCTCACTTTCTTGGAAAGAAGGTTTTGCAATCTGTCGCAGTCTGGTTCTCGGGGTGTATTTAAATAAAAGAGTGTACAACTTGTGACTGATCTGAACTGGAGACAAATGTTCACATTCCTGCTGGATAGCAAGGTGACTTAAGAGTCCTTCATTCTTTTCCATCCGAACAGCTGCCTGGCAGTTAATAGCACCTCTGTCACTGGCACACAATAAAAACATAAACCGCTTCCCAGCAAGAGGCTGGAGGAGCTCTGTGGGCTGAGGAAGAGCCTCCCGGCAGCCCATTCTCAGCAAGGGGGCTCCAGGACGACATGCCAATGTTGCCCAGCCCAGAATTCGCCTGAAGAGCCCTTTCTCCCATTCCTGGGGCAGGCAGCAACCAAGCCGGAGCTGAGGTTAGATCAGGAAGGGCCTGGTGGTTGATGACATCTCCTTTGCCTTATTAAAAGGCTGGTAGAAGCAGCCAGTGATCAAACCCCTTTGCCCATAACAAGGGAAGGAAGCGGAGACGGTGGAGCAGGGGCACAGGGGCATTGCTTTGCTTGGCAGATTGGCCTGCAGCTGCCGCTCTCTGCTTTTATTGCTCCAAGAAAGGGCCCAGGCCGTTGGGGCCCTCTCCCCACAGAAGATGGGTGTGAGCATCCTGCTCGTGTCCCCCTCCCGGTGGCCAGTCCCCACCCTGTGCCTGGGCTGTGCTTCCCTCCTGCTCAGCCCCTGCCGCGTGTCTCCGAAGGAAGGTGATCAGGGAGGTTGAAGTCCAGGCACATTATTGCTGGAGCAGCCTTCCCTCCTCCTCGTCCTTCCGAGCCGGGCAGACTTCATCTTGCTGTTAGGCAGGCCCAGGATGCCGGGGTCCTGGGGGCTGCTGTCCTTCCTGCTCTTGCAGATGCTGATGGGTGAGTTTCAGAGGAGGAGGCCACCCCGTTGCTAGGGCGGGCATGGAAAGATCCTGATTCAAAGGGGGAAGAACGGAGCTTTGGTTTGGGGGAACCGAAGGAAGGAAGGAGCCAGCCTGAACACCTGCTCCTCCTGGGCCCATTTTATGCCTGCTGGAAAGTTCAAAGCCTTTCCTGTGTTTTGAAATGTGCCCTTTGGGCTGTGCTTGTGTTTGCTTAAGATGCAAGAAAAGTGGTTCCTTGTAGATAGTAAACATTCTCTCGGCTTCTCCGTGGGATTGCATTTCTGTCCGTTGACACCTTGGTAGGTTTTGGGAAAAGAGTCGGAAGTTTTATCTCCAACCCCGAGAATTGATTTACACTGAATATTCAGTTCTCTTACTTTCTGCATTTGGGTCCGAGCTGTTCCCTGAACTCTTGGGTGCAAATTCCCTAAACGGGATTGTTAGCGCCCCTCCTTCACCCCTGTGGTCTCCACGCTGCAAGCTTTTGCTTGACCAACCTGGTCCATGTCCCGCTCTCAGAGCCACGGAGGAGAGCCAGAGGGGGAGCAGGAGGACCAGTATAGATCCTCTCTGGGAGCCACCCATTTGGGGTTTCTCTCTTTGTCTCCTAGTTGGGCTTCCGTTTTATGTCCAGGCTGTGTTTGTCAACCGATGTGGGAGTTCAAGGGTGTGTGATTTTGTGTGTGACTGCTGGGATTGTTCAGATGAAAACCAGTGTGGTGAGTGGCTCTCCTTTCGGTTCCTTCGGGAGGAATTTAAGGCAAAATTTCAACAGCAAAAAAAGTTGGAAGTAGCCGCTGCCTATCAAAAGCAGAAGGGCTCCTTAAATCCTCCTCCACCAGTCCCAGCACATCCCTGACCACCCTGGAGTGGATTCCGATGGGAAAAACAGGATCAGTTCCAGGTCATTCCTGGCTATGAAATCCTGCCCTTGAATTGTTGTGGCTTGAAATCACTGTTCAAACCTCAAGAAAGGCAGCCCCAAGCCCCCTCCCCCCTCCCTCCCCACAGCAGCTCCTTTGGGATCCCCTGGCCCTTCTTGGCCAGCCCCCTGTCGGCAGGGGCAGGAGAGGCTCCTTGGAGAGGGGTTGGACCGCTGGCTCTTCCCCTCCACCCAGGCTATCAGACGGCATCGGCTCGGGGGGCTCCCTCCACCTGCAGCTTCGAAGGCACCACATGTGGCTGGGAGGACATCAGTACCACAGCCTACCGGTGGGACCCTGCCCAGGCCAGCATCTCCCCCTGGGGGCTGGAGCCCCCTTTCGACCACACGCTGGGCACGGATTCCGGTAACTGGTTCTGCTGGGGGGAGGGGCACAGGAGCTGGAAATCCTTGGTGAGGCTCTTCTTGGGGGGAGGGGGAGAGGAGTCTTCCTCGCCTGGAAGGCCTGGAGTTGAAGCAGTGCCAGGGGGGTGCCCTGTGCTGGGGGCACCCCGTTTTTCCTCTTACTCTTTGGGCCGCTGTGTGAGTGCCGCTCTCCCTGCTTCCTCTGAGTGCCTCCGTTGCCCTCCGGTGCAGGCTGGTACATGGCGGTTACAAAGCAGAGAGCGAAGCCCTCGGCCACGGCCCGGCTGCGGTCCCCCCTGTTGCGAGGAGCAGCTGCTTCCTGCGAGATCCGAGCTTGGTATCTCCTGTGGGGCTCAGGTAGGCTGAGGGAGAACCAGCAGTGGGACGGGCCAGTGCCTTGCATGATCCCCCACCCCCATATCCACCCAGAGTGAGACGAAGCCTCCTCTCTCCTCCTCCTGGCTCTGCCGTCTCATGGAGATGCTCCTTTGAACCCAGGTCTTAACGAGACGCAGCAGCCTCTCCTGACCTTGGAGCTGAGCCAGGGAAACCACACCGTCCGCCTGTGGCAAAGCCCTGCAGGTGGCACCCACTCCTGGCAGGAGCTGGTGGCCTACACCGGTCACATCCCGGGCAACTTCCAGGTACCCGAACCCCCAAGCCCAGCCCTGTCTCCGACGGACGGGAGCTCCCCAGCCTCACCTGGAGCCTTTCCCTCCTGGCAGGTCACCTTCTCCTCCACCCAGGGCTTCTCCTCCTCTGCACAGCTGGCGCTGGATGATGTGGAATTCAGGAATTGCGGCCTCCCACGTAAATGGGGGGGGGGATGTGGAGCGTTTCCCCTTCATTCCTTCCTTCCTGGCCTCTCTGCAGCCTCCGTTTCCCCCTGGAAGGAGGCCCCGTGGGATGCTGTCCCTGCCATCTGCAAGCCACTCCTTTGCTTGCCCACGGGCCATACAGGCTGGGGAGGATGGGACTTGCGTTCCAGCACATCTAGTGGTAGGAGAGGCAGGCAGAGAGGCAATGGATCGCTGCAGCCGGTCCCCAAGGGGGGATTTGCCTATGAATGGAGCAGGGCCAACGCAGCCTAAAGGGGCAGGAAGCCCCCACAGCACAGATGCCTCCACCTGATCCTTAGGCCCACCCGGCCCCTTTCCCATCCCTCCTAGCTCCCCAGGCGTGTGGCGCAGAGGCCTTCCGCTGCCAGCAGGGCAGCTGCATCGCCATAGACCGGGTGTGTGACGGCACCGCAGACTGCAGGGGTGGTGAGGATGAAGCCCAGGAGGAATGTGGTGAGCACTGGAGGGGTGAGAGGGAGGGGGGGCAGGCTCCCCTCCGTTTGGCCTTTGAGGCCCAGAGCTGCTGGGAGGGAGTTTCATCCTGAAGCCGGATCTGCCCCTCTTCGGATGGCCCCGTGGCCTGAGAAGGGCCGGTGAGGGTGTCTCTCTCTCTCCCCCCCCCCCCCCCGTAGCCTCCTCCACAGTGTGCTCCTTCGAGGAGGACTGGTGCCAGTGGACCCCCAACACTACTCTTCCCTGGCTGAGGAACTCCAGCCTCCACCTGGCCTCTCCGTCTCTTGGGCCCTGGAGGGATCACAGCACCAACAGCCGGGAAGGTGAGTTTAGGCAGGTAGCAAGGAAGCCGGAAGGGCCGTCTGCTGGTCTGAGGATGCAGCCTCGTTTCAGAATGGCTTCGGCTGCAGGAGGCACCTCTGGGCTTTTTAGGGTCTCTGCTGTCCTTTGAGCTTATTCCAGGAGAAACACCTCCCCACCCCCCCAAAAAACACACTTTCCCTGGCTGCTTTCTCCCTGGAGGGAGTTTGTATTTTTACTCAATCACGGCAGATCAGTGAGGCCATAAAAACCCGCAGCCCTACCCCAAGCAGTAAATTTAGCCCCCTCCTCCCAGCTTCCTGCCCTGAGAGAGGCCTGTGGCTCTGGCGGTCTGTGGGAAGAGCATGGGGGAGGCGCTCCGGCCCCTCTTGCTGGCTTCTGTGCTTGGAGCCCATTTGTCCCCTGGCTCCGTGTCCCGGTCAAGGTAGACGATTCTGCTCTGGGTTTAGCCACCCTCTTGGAGGGGGAAAAAAGGCCCAGACCCCTCCAGGCAGAGTTAATGTTTCCAAGGTTCCCTGCATTGCTTGCTCCGTCCGTTGCAGGCTTCTTCGTGTATGTGGAGGCCCAGAAGCCGGAGCTGCACGAGGGAAGAGCTTGGCTGAGCAGCCCAATGCTGGCCTCGGACGCCAACCAGTCCTGCTATGTGAGTGACCTGAGCCACAGCTGGAGAGGCTCTTCTCTGGCCGAGGGCCTTGGAGGTTTCCCTCTGCTTGTGGTCATAGCAGCCCCTTTGCCTCTCTCTCTTTTTCTTTATAAAATTCTTTTATTAGTTTAATTACAAACAAAAACACAGACACACAAAAAATCATCTTTCATTACATCTTGTAGAAAGCGTATCCATTGGTCACAAGTACATTTCGTGCGTTCTGTCCACA